ATTGGAGAGGATTCTCTATGCTGTTCTGTGCCCGACTTCCTGCCCGGTTCGATCTGCTCTGTGCAGCTTGACACGGCCTCCGTGAAAAATAGACTCACCGCGTATTCTCCGAGGAGAGGGTGGCTGCGATTAGCTCCGGCAGATGTGCCAGAAGCCTTGTGGATGTCCGGTGTAAGAATTTGAGAAGTAACCATAACTTTTTCTCTACCGACCGAACTAAATTTAAAGGTCACTGGAGTCCGTTCATGTTTTTCATTCACTGGATTTTCTTCAGAAAACTAGCTATAAGACGAAGCTAGCTCAGAATTCTTAGTATGGATATCATGGTAGAGGCTGCAAAGACGAGTCCGGAGGAAACAAAGAAGAGAAAAAAAAAGAGTGACCAAGTAAAAGACAAGAGTAAATATAGGACTGGCTTTTTCTCGTTGGTTTGAGCTACAAGAGCTGAAAGAATGCAAGACAGATAAGGAGCTGGCCTTCTTGCTGTTGGACTAGTAATAACGGATATGCTGGCTTGCTATGTCTTCTGTTGTCGTGCTTGCTTGAGGTTGCCTGTGTTAGCAAAGTTGTCAACCCAAACAAAATCAGCCACAGACAGAGGTTTAGCTGCTGGCTATAAATCTGTTAGCAAACCTACTAGAACACGCTTAGACATTGGTAATGTTACTGTAAGTGCACAGTGTTAGTGTAAGTTGCTGTCCAGATTTGTTGGCTAGCTTACCACCCAAGTTTCAAGCAACATTATTTAACTTTTCCACCATAAAATAACAGCAGTGTCATGCCTAAGCCAGGCAAGTGGGCTCCATAACTGGGCTCAGCAGCCCATATGGACATAACATTAGCAAATGGCAGAGGCTTAGATACCCAAGAGAACACTGACGAAGGAAGCAGAGAAGAGAAGAGAAAAGGACAATGACCAATTATGATGAATGCTTTGTGAAATAAAAGGCTGCAAAACAGATGCAAGTGTGTTTTCGCATTTGATGTTTGGCTGTGTTAGAAAATAGGTCAACCTGATCATTTTTGATCAAAAGTAATCATCATAATCATAACAAATGCACATGTACAGCTGTCCTTATTTACGACATCAGTGAGTTACACTCTTAAACTGTAGGGGTGCCAAATTGCAAAAAAACACCAAATCTTACATAATGCAGCTTTAAACATAAACTATGATAGTCCTGCTTTAAAGCTGTCGCTAGGTTCTTGCCTTCAAACTCAAAGCTTCCCAGTGTGCGCAGGGCCAGTGTGATGCTGCCGACGTCACTGGCCTCAGGGATGTTTGTGAGGCTTGGCGAGGCCAGCTGGTAAGCCAGGCCTTTGGGCATGCCGGGGTGACGCAGTGGCTTGTGCATCAACACCAGGGAAAGCATCTTCAGCAGACCATCCTGGATGTCCTTCTTCAGCTGGGGGATTTGACGGCTCAGGTCGTACAGCACCGCTGTCAGTGCAGGACTAGATGCACAGGACACAATGGACAAACAACCCAATGTCATTATCGCTGTTCTCTTTAGATAAAGAAGTGTGTTGTGGTGTATTTGCCATGTAAGTATAACTCCCGATTTAAACCCTTCTACTAACATAAACACGTTCCAAAAATCCAATCCAAGCACTGCTAAAACTTTATTAGTTAAAATGATTTAGCATGTGGTGAAGCCATTCAGTCCTACCTGAGGCCCACAGCCAGCATTGGCTCCAGCAGCTCCTTGATGTCTGGTTGGATGCTGGGACCCATTGCTCTGGAAAGCATGCTGATACAGGTGAACACTGTGGCATCCACCTGCATGGTCTTCTGCCTCCTGCACACATGGAAGACCAGAAAGTCAAAAAACACACACTAATGGTAAGTCACTTTTTCTTTCATGAACAGATTCCCAAATTATTTTAGAAAAGATCTGCCACAGAGGAGATCCAACCCAAATATACATTTTAGACCTAGATTTTTTTATTAATAGAGTCAAAATGAAACTAGCCTTTGGAGATTGAGGAGGGTCTCTTAAATCAATGACTAAAATGTATTGACGCAAATTCTTTGCATTGATGTTTCGTTTAATCCATGTAACTTTACAGCACAGTGTTTCGCAGGGACATTTATAACTGTCGCACATCGTGCTTACGCTGTGAACATGACGTGATAATGATGCCGCTGTTTGCAAAGTGGAGGAAGAGAGAGAAAATAGTGAGTGACAAAGAAGAAAGTGTCCAAAGTATGGGATTATTTCAAGCTAAAGAAAACAACTACTCTGTAATGATATTTATGTTGCCTCTGCAACAGCACGACAGCACCTGAAGAAAAAGCAGCCGGTGTTCTGCCAGCGGACCACAGACAAGGTAACAGTAACAGCAACATTAGCATTTAACTGAAATCCTGATTGATTGTTGAGTTGAAGCCAAAGTAAGCCACAGACTTATATCTGAAAATGTGCACATGTGCGTTTGTTGTTCTACTTTTTGGCCCATGAGTTTTAACCTCAGTCAGGAGTTAACTGGGTGTCGGGAGCTGCACCTTTTAACTCACCTGTAGCTCTCTCTGTAGCTCAGACGTTTCCTGCTACCTGCGTGTGCTAATCCATCCTTCACCCAGATTCTTTGTCTTTATAATCGCCATCTTTATAATAAACAGCTGTTTCGTGTGCAGGATCGCTCATTTCCCGTTTCACGGCGTGGTTTGGAGACCAGCTTCGGGTGTCAGCTCCTGTAGTGTGTGACCCCCTGTCACTGATCATTCACGTAGTGTGAACGCCTCAACGACTTCAAGACTGCCGTCATATGACGGCACAGCCATCGGCCGACGCTGAAAGTCGTGTAGTCTGCGCGGAGCCTTCAGTATAACTTGTATAGCACTCGGGAGATGTGTGTTTGTAAAGCAGCTGTCTAGTTGTTGGTCTGTTGATCTGATGTTTGCTGTATGACACACTATGAATTTCTGATAGGTGATAAAAATCTATAAACGTGCACAGCTGATCCCGAATGGGGGGGGGGGGGTAAAAGTACTTCTTAGATGACGCATCGATGAATCATTAAAATAATCTATAGAAGCTTCGAATACTAAAATCATCGTTAGCTGCAGCACTAATATGAATTACATTATCAGTGTTAGAGCCGATTTCATGTTTTTAATTACTGACTTGTGTGCAAAGTCCTTGGGTGGAAGGGCAGCCTTGATGATCTCAAGAACCTTCGAGAGGTATGGCTGGATTTCTGCCCTGACAGCCACTACCAGCAGACCCAGAGCCTGGAAAGCTGCAGTCCTCTCCTTCTCCTTCTTCAGACAACCCAGCAGGTAGCCCATAGTGTCTGACAGGTACTGGTCTGCACATTGGATTGAACAATCACAGTGCAAATGGTTAAACGCAGATCTCTTTACATTCCACAACCACCAAAAAGCTAAGTGGATATAGTAATGGGAAAGAACGTGTGGCTGCATGTTGGAGTGAAAGATGGAGTCTGCGGGATCTTGGATTCCATTCAAACATTAACTAGTCTCACCTGTAAAGATATGTGGCTGGAAGGCAGCCAGGCGTGGAAGTAGGTTGAGGATGGTCATCTGGATCAGAGGGTTTTTACTGGTCTTGTATTTCAGCACCCACCGACACACCTGGACAAAGCACATAATAAAAGCTTGTGTCAACTATGATTTATCTGGCACTCAAAAGAGCACTGGTCTTGTGTTGTTGACTTTGAGACATATCTGTTAAATCTTAAGGCTGCTGCAATGTTGTGGGAGCTAAGCAGCATAAGTTCTAACATGAAATCTAACTTTTAACTTCTTCACTATCGAAAATACAATATTTCTATTCAAATTGCAACTTTGATAGTGAGAAAACCTACAGCTTGCTAGTCCTGTAAACCACTTTGTACTTGGCCATCTTCATGGACTACTGCGTACATGAAAAAAATATAGAGCTGAAAAAAAGATAATAATTTAATTGTAAAATGAAATTTTAGACAAGAATATTTTGTCAAAGATACTTAAGACTATTTTATTCACACTCACAGATCATCTCTGGAATAACTAGGTAATCTAGAGAGTGAGTTTTACCAGTCAGTTTAACCATTGTTGAAGCAGTTAAGATATTGTAGTTTTAATTTTTTCCCCATTGAGATAGCCCATACATATAATCTAGAGTTCAAAGCCTAAAACAAAACCACTAAGCAAAAAACACAGGTAAAAGTGTAGAGCTGCAGTACTTGATGTCCATTCATTCATAATCATGCATTTAATAAATAATATAAAAATGAATACATATTTTACCATTACTGCATCACAGCCATAAACATAGCCAGCCACAGCCATAACAATCTTCTTGTTAAATCTACCTGGTCGAATCGCTCCTCCATCAGCTCACGGCAGTATCGGCTCTCCACCAGCGAGCTCTTGGCAGGTAGTGGTGCGGCTCCGAAGGTGAGGAAGCCTTGAGGTGTGCTGTAGCCCAGCAGGCCCAGGAGAGCATTGGACTGCTGTGGCTGCACCGATTGGAAGCTAGTGAAGGGTGTGATGTGACGGGGTTTGGTTCCAAATCCCATCAGCTCCTTGCAGTACTTATCATGGACCAGCTGCTGCTGTGTGATCTCCTCCATCTCCTCACGCATGCGCTGTCACAGAGACGAGACAGTGAGAGGAAGGTTGGAATTGTTCGTGGATGTGAGAATTTTCCCGCAGTGAATTCAGCCCTCACCTCTCCCTCCATGCTGCTGATGCGAACCAGCTCATTCAGGATCAAAAGAGCACCATGGACCCTGTCGTCACGATTCATCCCTTTCTCTTTGGCCAAAGTCTCATCGAAGCCTTTCTCTGCCTCCTCAAAGGTTTGCTGTTAAAGAAAAGACAAAGTCTCATGTTGCCTATTACAAGGACATAGGTTTTTCACCTGGCAAATATAACATGTACTAAGGAAGAGCAAAAAATTGGATTTGCCATGATCCAGTGGAATGTCTTACTTTGTACCACTGTGGTTTCTGCATTTCCTTGGTTTCCCTCTGTGTGGTGAGGATGAGAGAGGCTCGCAGTGCAGATACTGCCCCTTCTCGGATAGCCTGCTTGGGGTCCCATACTGCATAAAAGATGTTGTCAAAGAAGGGCTGTACTTGCTGAAAGAAGAAGGTGGGTGCGCTTACAGCCAGCTCCCTCAACACCAACACCTGGAAAAGAAAAAAAACATTCAAGTCATTATTTCCTTTCTTGGGTTTACTTCTTTACAGTGTTAATATCCAGTACTAAGGTTTTAGGCAGGCATGAAAAAATACTTTAAAAGCATGAATACTTTCAAAAAAAATAGACACATTAATAGATTATATGTATCAATTAATTAATTCATAAAGTAAAAAAAAAAAATCTGTCAAACTGTCCTTTGCCCTCATCGCCACCATACATAAACATCACCAAGTAGTGGGGGTATTTCAACAAACAACATGGTCCCTGCTGTCTGCTAGTCACTCACTGCAGCATGGCGTCTGCCTTCATTTCTGTCTGCTCCCAACCACTCTTAGGGCCCTCTTCACCTCAAACTCCACATACTCAGCAGTAAAGGTGTCCCCTGCCATAGACAGGTGACCCATGGCTTTAGAGGCCATCTCCATGACCACGGGGTCACTGGATGGAAGCAAGTTGCGCAGGTAGTTGGCAAAGCGGCTGATCCTGGTGGCATTGCCTCCCTCGACTCCGATCAGACTCACTGAAACAAATTATTGAGCAACAGTTATACACTGTTTCACACATACAGTACAATGTGTATACTAACATCCATGTAAATAACATGTCTCTTAATTCCAACAGACCTTAAAAAAATAAAAAGTTTGTAACATTTAGCATGTTAACTTTTATGGCTTACCAATGGCGAGAATCCCTCCCTTCTTCTCATTTACATCAGAGCTGGATACCAGCTCAAATATGTGGTGGTTCAACTCATCATAGAATGTAGTGGCTTCATCTTGGCTCAACTTTGGAAAGCACAAAACCAGTATCACAAACCAGTAGGAAAAGCAAAATTGGTAAGTATAGAAAATCTGCTATCTCTTAGGAAAGGAAAAACATTTCTTAAGATCCCTGCACATGTTATGTAATATTTATAACCACATTCACATCCACTCCTAAAATACTGTAAACAACCGATCACTTTACAGTTTTTCAGGACAACAACACTCATTCCGGTTACAGTATAGGAAATGATACCCTCGTGACAGGATTCAATTACGTCCGTGTTTATTTTTGCTGTTACCTCTCGGAGCTCCGTAGTCACATAGTGCTGCAAATCTTTGGCAGATTTTGCTCTGGTGTCTTCATTTCGACTCTTCAGCCCACTGACAAACTGTTGCAGCACAGTTGCTGTGCCCGACATGATCACCATTTGGGTGGCCTAATCTGCAAGGACACAAATAAAATGGATATGGTTCCGGGTTCTCAAAACAAATTCAACGAAGAAAAAGTATAAATACCATATTTGGAAAGAACTAATATTTCCCCCGAGTTGTTTACACACATCAATGTTGTATCTGACGTTAGAGCTAGCTAACGTCAGTGAAACAAATTGTCAACCTTGCTCAGCAGCAATAGGAGATTAACGTACCAAACAGATACATTACACTAAGCTAGAAAGACAGCATCCTCTACACCATTAATACAAAACTAACACGTCCAAGTACTATATGTCAGGTACAGGTAACATTAATTCAGAACCTCATGAGTACATCATGCTGGTTCTGTTAAGCTAATGTTAGCTAGGTTAGTGCTAAAGTTAAGCTACATGTAGGAAACCGTTTGCGTGATTGTACAGTCGCTTTGTTCCACTTACGTGTTTATAATAATATGTCGGCCACTTAATTGCTATTCGGCTCTTGCAGAGTATCTCTCATTGTACGACTAGCTGGCTAGCATTGGGCAATGTTGGCTAACTATGCTATCGCTATGTTGAGCTGGACCGTCTCCGGCAGGGTACATACAGCAAACTTCACAAGCGTTAAGTTGCGCTGAGTATCCTGCGCAGAGCTACGCGCATGCAGCTCGGGTGTCCTTGAGTAACGCTACAGTTTTTACTTGAATATTTGTATTTGTAAGACGTTATACTGTATCCCTTTACAGTCGAAAGAGGGATAAAACCAGCTCTTATGTCAATTGTTGCTGAGACTAACTGCCCCTCTGACCAGCAGTCTCACAACCATTGCTCACAACAGCAAAGCATTTCAAACACCCATCAGAGTAAACCAAATTATAATGCAATATAAATAAACCTCATTTGGAAAGAAGAAACTTGAGTAGAACGGCCTAGAATGGCCCTAAAAATATATGAATTGACACAATATATCTCTACTGTACTAAAATAGAAAGCAGAGACAGAGCCTAACCAAGTAGCCTACAGCTCAGTGACATTACATTACATTTACATTTATGTGACCACAAACTGGCAGTCAAAAAAGGAAGAACAAATTCTTGGCAACCAAAAGAAAACAGAATACATTATGGTCACAGTTCAACAGGTGAGGCTGAGACAGAGATGCACTTCAACCTACAATGTAAACCATTCAATGAAATACAGGTCATTTACTTTAACAAGTTCTGCTCTGTAATCTCAGATTTCTAACACCGTGATAACCTCTCAAAATTATAAATAGGCTACACCTAGAAGGAGACAAAGCATATATTTACATATGTACACACATAGGCCTATACAATGTAGATTTATTTATTATTTTACAACACAGGGTTGTAAAATGAGATGAAGTTGTTCCTTTGCACTATACTCACAAAAATCAAATGTTGATATAGCCTACAGTAGGGTGGATAAATAACAAGTCATAGAAATAAAATAATTTAATGGCTGAGGGTCACAGCCTGGGGAAAGCCTGTTCTGAGGTCTGGTGATGTGACAGCAGAAATATATCTCCTGCCAGATGGCAGCAAGGTGATTTCCAAACCATTTCTGGGCTTTCTTTAACAGCATGGATAACCATGTGATAACCATGTGATGCTGATTCCAAGGAACCTAAAACTGCCCACCTCAGCTCCACTGATGTAGACAGGAATTTGTGTCTTTGCCTCCTTTTTCCTAAAATCAATGATCATCTCGTTGGTTTTGCTGACATTGAGCAGTAGGTGGTTCTCTGTACACCACTCTGCAAGATTGTTGATTTTCTTCCAATATGAACTATCATCGTTGCTGAAATCCAGCTGATGATGGTGGTCCTGTCCACAAACTTCACCACAGAGTTCTCTTCATGTTAGAGGTTGCAGTCATGGACACGCAGCATGAACAGAAGGGGGCTAGAGTGGAGAAGGTGTGACCGCCAATGCAAACTAACTGGGGTCTATTAAGTGAAAGTCCAATATCCAGTTGCGTAGTGTGGTACTTAAACCCAAGGTTTGCCGATCAGCTTCATGGGGGAGATTGTATTGGATGCTGATCTGAAACAAAGTCTCTGTCTGAAATCCACAAACAGCATTCTGATATAAATAGGTTTTTCTCAAGGTGTGTGAGGGCTGAGTGGAGTACAATGGAGATGGCATCCTCTGTGGATCTATTGGTTCCAAAAGCAAACTGGTGAGGGTCCAGACTGGCTGGGATGTTGTTCTTTAAGTGCTGGAGGACCAGTTTCTCAAAGCGCTTCATCAGAACCGACCGAGACCTGACTGAAAAGCTTCTTAGCTCAACAATAGAGCCCTCACATCTCCATTCATCCATGCTTCCTCGCTGGGGAATGATCTTATTGCTTTAGTGATTACCACATCATCAACACATTTTCTAATTTTTGATGTCACTGATGCTGTATATTCCTCAAGATTGATGTGGTTCTCTGGGTGGCGGCCATTCTGAATATGTGCCAGTCTGCACACTCAAAACATTCCTGTAGAGCTGCTGTAGCCTCATCTATGCACACTTTGTTTTTACTGTTAATTTAAACCCTTTTATTCACATCGATGTGTGTGTGAAGTTATGTGCTTTTCCAGCTATAACATGTCATGTCTGCTGGGAAAAGGTCTATTATCAATGCTGGATTACCAATGGGGCAAATCTGGCAACTGCCCCAGATTACCAGTCGTAAAAGCACCAATCTTACCATGTGCCAACTGGTTTCTGCTAATGTAATTAAAACTTTGTTTCGGAATATGCACTATGTATATGGTATAATAAGGGCCTTATGATGGGTCCTGCTTTATTGCATCGTCTTGATACCCTATTTTAAAATGTGCGAATAATATAGTTTTATGATCATAATTTTATTTTTGTCTTCATTTGTTGATTATTTCTAAATAAACTACTATACAGAAAACCTGTGGCCATCTAATATTCACTCTTAGAACTACTGTACACATTGCACAGAGAGTAGAAGCAATATGGGGTTAACTGGAACCCAGCAGCTTGTTTTTAACTCAGGGCCCGTTAGCAGGTTAGTTTGTTCCTGCTAATACTTGCAGTATTCACCTGTGTTGCATTTGGTGGTCAGGATGGTTCCTGCCTCAAGGTGGAGACATTGCCCAGGTAAACTGAGAGGAACAGACAGTATCTCTCCTACAGGTATGTAAACACTGTGACATTTACCACAGTGCTACTCACCAATTAGACCCATAACCTCTTTTTTTGTAATTGTAGGAGACTGGACTTTACATGTCATATGCATTTTCATCAGGAACATTGCCATATTATTTTACATTTCTGCCATCAGTAAGGTTGAAGACATGGTATGATGGTATGGCAAACAAACATTTCACTCACTCTTTTAGTGACCCAGATATAGCAATGGTTACTAGCCTGGGGTCTGAGGACCATGAGTGGTCTTTTGGGAATTCTCATTGCAATAGGGGAGTAGTTTAATTTCAAGATAAATAAAATGTAGGCTATAATGAAGGCTGGTTTGATAAAAGGTGTCATTGTTGTGACTGATTTTGTCAGTTGTTGTTGATAGTTATAAGCGTATGCTTTCTGTTTGGAAGAGCTGGGTGTCAGCCATCTTTCATGATACATGGCCAACTTCTTAACCATGGTCCACCACAACCACAGAACCTCCGAGCAGCCCTAGTATTAACAGACTCTTCTCCGAACCTTACACAACAATGTAAAGAACTGATAATCAAGTTTTTAATGAATGTATCTCATTGTACTCATCTACTCCTACTGCACTAACAGTAGTATGACAAGCAGGAACACTCTAAAAAATAAAACATTGGGTCAACAAAAACAAGTATGTTAATGTTAGAAATTAAAAATAGAATTTTTAAGTTAAGACTGCTGGCAGAATTACATTCATTAAAAGCAATCTTTTGAGTATGGTGAATTACCTTTTAGGCCACAGTTAAAACGCAAGTAACATTATAATTGTCAATGTGAATGGAAGTATTTAAGTTGATCCAACATAATGTTTTAAGTCAGGTCAAGAAGCTTTTTGGCCACTATAATACATATTTCTAAGTAACATGAACTTAATAATTAAGTTGATCTCTGCAAGAGTTAAGTTGTGTGTTAGCGAGTTATCTTTAGTATTTCTTCTCATCTGAATCATAGTCTAGTCTGTCTAGCTACTTATAGTTTAGAAACGTAGCTAGCCTACATGCTAACCAGAGCGGTGGCTAATGGGTAATCCCATATTAAGTTAGCTTGCCAAGACGTTTTCCCTGGCTGCCTGGCCACCTATTACTCCCGCATTTAAGCCTACTCAATCAGTGACAGGCTACAGCTACTAGCTAACTTTACCTTGGCACACTGTACTATCAACACTGCTCAAATTTCAGAGTAAGGACTTCTAGATTTCGGTATTCAGTTACAGTAGGCTATCACCAACATCATCCTGAGAAAATGCAAATATGTGTACTTAAGCATAAAATTACTTACCATTCAACACATCATCTTCAATGAGTTTCAGCTTTGGCCCTGTGGTCACTCGTCTGCCTTGAACATGCCTGCACATGCAAGAGAGGGAAACTGTGGGCCGTTTAAACGTCAACAAATTGTATTTTATTGTACACGTTAAAATTAAATTATTTTTTGATTAACTGAAAATGTTAAACTCTGACAAGTCATGCTAGTATATTGGATCAACAGGCATAATTTGTGTGTCATCCAAGCTCAATAAAATAATAATTACAAGTAAAAAGTCTAACAGTATCTCAGAACTTGATTTTTTATTTCACAACAATATATATATTTAAGTAATGACTAAAGGTCCCCTGAATTAGTTTTTAGAGTGAAGAATCAGGTATTTCTATTTGAAATTCCTCTGCTCATGTCAACTACTTTAAAAATTATTTCCTTCATTTAGAGAACTGGAGCTGAACTAAAGTTGTTTTTCCACAACACTTAATATGAAGATTAAAGCAATTCACCAGCATCTCGTTATTAAGTAGTCTTAACCTGTATTTGAACTCAATTTAATTTAGTATACAGTAAGAGTGTTAAAATCCGTTGCTGCCACTAAAGAATGGCAATAAAACTGGCTTAAAATTAATTGGAAATTAATGTGTCTACTAAATGATATTAACTCTTAAACTTTATTCTGATGATCCTTGTAGTCTGGTAAAAATAACACATTCATAGATTTAAAAGAGATTACAATCAAAGTATTTCTCCTAGCATTCCAGATCAGTGGATCCTCTTTTGCTTTTGACTATTAGTGTTGTCTTCTACACTGCTCAAAAAAATTAAGGGTACACTTAGTGATCGCAATATAACATCATGTAAATTAAACTTCAGGGATATGAATCTGCAGTTAGGAAGCATAAGCAATTGCGAATCAGTGTCACTTGTTTTTGGCACAAATGAAAGTGACAACAGGTGCACTGGAGAGGCAACAGCAAGACAACCTCCAAAAAAGGAATGGTTTTGCAGGTGGCGGCCACACACAATTGCTCTCTCTTTATCCTTCCTGACTAATTGTTCTATCGTTTTGCAATTTGTTAGTGTCCTTGTCACTACTGGTAGAATGAGGTGGTACCTGCATTCCCATTCAGGTTGCACAGGTAGT